CTGTGATCTGTCCAGAGGAGGAGCAGACAGATATCGCTGAACCTCCACAATGAAATCTGCAGTAACATTCTGAGATTTTCTGTCTTCTTCTGCATCTTTGTCAAGAGGCTTCCACGGGTCAATGCCTGAAAATAAAACATTACAGGACATTTATAAAGCAGCGCAAACACTGCATCTATGATGTCACAGTGAGATCAGTGTGTGATTTATTTTTCCTGTGTTTATTCGGAGGGGACCGTAAACTTGGACATCCATTGTATTAATAACAGACTTGACAATAAGGCTTGAATCTTGGGAATATAATTTATCTTATTCAGTGGCACCAATTCAAAATGTTCCCACACTTGTGACCGTTTCCATGATGGCTCCATAGCGAGTCAGTCCAAAATGTGTTGACAAGACGTAGGACAGAGCGCTGTTTCATCCATCTTAAATACATCTGTATGGCTCCAATGTTTCAAAGCTCCGCCTGTCGAACCAAACCAGTCAGCTGATTCAATCTGAATGAAGCAGAAGTGGTTCGAACACCATCGGTCACGTGGTTTTTCCTGATTTGAAGCAAGCTTCGGAGCCTCGGTATCAGAGGGAACATCACTACTTTTAAGAAAACTCTGATCACGGTCACACCTAAGCTCTGAGCAGCTCCACTTAGGCACCACAGTGGTGTTAATGTGGACAAGACAAACAGGTTTGTCACCAAGCTGCCCCATTCAGATTTAATCTTGCCTGTCTGGGGTCTGAAATGGTGACCTTCTTGTCATAAGATCACTTCTCACTTTTATGTAATTTTAAACCTGTCTGTTCAATCTTAAGATCACACATTATTGCAATTAGTTCTGTAAAAAAATATGGATTTTTTTTTCTGTCAGCCTATGATATAAGTTTATATTTAATCAGGTAGGCATACATGAACTGTATACTCCAATTTATTCATTGTAATATTCTACAATGGCACCGTTCACAGTATTATATACTAAATATAACACTGCATAATGACAGTTTTCACTGTTTTGATGGTAAAACTAGTAGAATATTTAATGCAGGACTTATAATAAAACCCGTTTTCACAGTGCAGAATTCCTGCTCTGGGTTTACACAGGTTTATTTTGAATATCTGAATGTCAGCGCTAACCATGCACCACGTGACACCATTATCACGTGACCACTAATAACAATCCATGGCGGCACGCTGTGCTACAGGACTTGCAACAAGACCAGGTATTGAGCTAAAACACTTTCCGTACTTAAACAAACCGCTAACAGTAGAGGTTATTGACCACCCCAGTCCGTAACGTAAAAACACATGACTTATTTAACAGACACATGAAGCGTGCTGGCGGTAAAGGTGGTGTTATGTCAACTGATGTTAGCATGCTAGGTATAATTAAGATAACGTACTGTAATGATAATCCATCTTGTGTATCCTGTCGGCCCGTTTATGGATTAACATATATATGTTTATTTTTGAGGTCATAGTTGGTGAAACTGTACTGGATTAGCTATATTATCTGTGATTCAATTAACACATCTGGCAACAAAAACCAAACAAATAACTTACACTTTATGGGAAAACAGGTGTACTTTATAAAGAGACTCCTGAGTGTAGCTATGTTGCATATGATTGGGTCACATGTTGATATCACACCACTGTAGAGGTGAAATTCAGTTTCTATTGTGACACCTTTGCTATAATTTACTTTTTGCGGTAAAGCACTGTCAGAGAAGAAGCAAGCAAGCACTTTCTTGCTTATTGTGCTACCTTCCTTCTTTCCAGGTCTGTGTGGTTTCCTGCAGAGAGTTTGTTGTCTAAGAGGCCGTGGTCCCCCCACAGCCCTACTGTGTCAGCAACATCAGCACTTCTTCTGGCGAAAGTGGAAAAGTTCTCACAATATAGTTCGCCCAGCTACTGTTCAGCCTGCTTATGCAGTTCCCAAGGTACAGCACCTAATATTCCCCTGGTGTCACAGTGAGGGGCAGTATTCCGATTAGACAGATCAGAAAATAGACGTTTTATCCAAGGATGGCCTGTAGTTAAGAACCTTGAATAAAATGATGCCATGAATTTTCTTCTTTTGATGGGGGTTTGTGCTGATTTCTCTGCCAGGCTTTCAAAAGTACTGATGCATAAGTGTTAGAGGTTACAGAGGAATACACTTAAGAGCTGAAAACCCCTACAAATGTGTTTCGGTGAGATTGGCATGATCAGAGGACCTTTGAGTTTCTTGGCACTAATTCAGTACAGAATTATTAGTACTTTTGAGTCAGGTGAAAATGACTTGCATGACCAATTTTAATAGGATCGAAATGTATTGATCTCAACAACAGATCTGCAAATTAAACATCTCTTATTAGAATAGTGCTTTTGTTAAAGGAAAACCACACTGACAGCTACACACTTGAAATTTTTCTCACGCCGCTCAACCAACTGAGCTTCTACTAAATTACGAGAGCTTTCCATATAATTCTACCAGTTTTTCAATTAGCATTAAACATATTATTTAATCAAATGTGTAAGAGGTGAGTCAGAAATAAACTATCAGTGGCAGAGGCATTTGAAAAGATCATCATTTTATTTTGTAGTTTGTGCATTCCTCTCCTGTCTGACTGTAGCACATTGTGCGGCCTGACTATGTGGAGACTGGACTGGTCCCAGAATGGCCAGACTACATCGAGATCAAAGACAAAGAGCAGATCGAAGGCCTTGCCAGAGCATGTCAGTTGGCCAGACATATACTGCTGTTGGCTGGCCGCAGCCTGAAGGTAAGCACCCGATCATTCATAAGTATTGTTAGTGTTGCTGTGACAAACAATCAAACAACATAATTACAACAACCCGTGACTTCCAGATTGGTATGACGACAGATGAAATTGACTTCATTGTGCACCAGGAGACAATAAAGCACAATGCCTACCCGTCCCCTCTTAGATATGGGGGTTTCCCCAAGTCTGTCTGTACATCTGTGAACAACGTGGTCTGTCATGGCATACCTGACAGGTAAATGGGCAGGACTCACAATATTTCTCATGTTTCTCTTTACATTTGTTTCCTTTTGAAATAAAATAATAATCACAGCATAAAAGGATTTTTGTCTTACAACACACACATGCCTTCGTCCTGCAGCCGGCAGCTTCAGGATGGAGATATCATCAACATTGATGTCACTGTAAGTTGATTGCTACAGACATACACACAAGCCAAATTCCTAGTGAGAGTAACACTGCCCGTCACTGACTGCTGCCTATTCCTGATAGGTGTATTTGGAAGGTTACCATGGTGACACCTCAGAAACATTCTCGATTGGCCAGGTGGATGAGATTGGGCAACGATTGGTGGAAACTGCCAGGCGCTGCAGAGATGAGGCCATCGCTGCCTGCAAGCCGGGTGCACAGCTCTGTGTTGTAGGAAACACTATCAGGTAGACACCTACAGAATATACACGGATAAAGTACTTACTCTGTGTACCAAATAATCACATGTACTTTTCTTTTTGACAACGAATATTTTTGTGTTTGCAGTGAAATTGCTAATGCTAATGGCTTCCAAGTGTGTCCTTATTTCATAGGGCATGGAATAGGCTCCTACTTTCATTGCTATCCTGAGATCTGGCACCATGGTGAGTTTGGGTCTGTGGTCAGATGATAAATAATATCTGGTGGTAAATATCTGTGTGAGAGCTTGAAACGATGGGGCAAGAACATTGTTGTTACCAAAGAATAAAAAGAAAACTTCACACTGTGATGCTTCAGGTCCTGCTGTTAGAAATCAACAAACCAAAGGATAACTACTAACCTTCTTTGTCGCTTTATTTTCAGCTAATGACAATGACATGACCATGGAGGAAGGGATGGCTTTCACAATAGGTGAGCTACACTGTGTAATTTTTGGGGGAACATTAAGATGTCACTGTGTTTAGAGTGTGGGGCTGATATAGTGTGTTAATCTGCAGAGCCCATATTGATGGAGGGGTCTACAGAGTTCAGAATCCTGAAGGACAAGTGGACTGCAGTGTCTGCAGATGATAAACGGTACGTAGGTGGTGGACAACAAAAACTATCTTGGCTGTGTATTTGTAGCTGGTGACTAACATGAGTTTTGTACTGATTGGATTAACATCCCAACACATGAATCTTTATAGTCTTTTATGTGCAGCTATTTATTTATTTTTTTTAACGTTTACATTGATCCAGGTCAGCTCAGTTTGAACACACAGTGGTCATCACATCTGATGGAGTGGATATTCTTACCAAACTGCCAGAGGAGAGATACTATACCAGTGACTGAAGGCACTCATCTGACCCCTACATGAACTGTTGATTACTAAGCGCTGTTACAAGGACTGGGGCCTTTTTAGAAATACAGATGTCCTGAGTCCAGGCTTCCCCAGCACAACCCCTTCCACCTAAAAAATTAAACATATGCAATTCTGATTATTTAATATAATCGCTAAGTTTCATATGTCATTTGTTAATTTTACCGTTCAGTGATATTTTCTGTAAATGGGCTCAATGTTTGTTTCAAAGACTTCACTACATTGTAAGTTATTTGTGTTGAGGAATATATTTTATTTGACCCTTTTAGTTGTATCAGCCTTACAAAACCCAGCATTTGTAATAGTTGTGTAACTCTAGAATATAACTTCAGTAATGCCCCTAGATTCCCAAAGATATCAGACAGGACATCACTGCAGTCTCCTCAGCAGCTCAGTGGGACTTAGGTTCACGTGGCCTTAGATTTGTGCAGTCTTCAGAAACATTTACTCATAATCTGCATATTAGATATTATGTCAGTGGAAGTCTGTCTCTTGGTTATGTGGATATATTGTTAAATCAAGTCCACCCAGTAGATGGCAGCACACTGTAATACATACATCAATCCCGCAAGCTCTATTCAGCTGGCTTATAGCTGCTTATTCTGGATGGGCAACAGCACAATACACTGCATCTGACCTTCTAAAACATGTCTGTGACCCATAACCACATGGAGGAATCGCACACTGCCAGCATGTGTAGAATTGTTCTCTGAAGTTAATGTCAGCACTGTTAGAGGAATCCAAACCAACTGTCAGCGATTAATGTCTATAGAAAACCAACTCCCAGGGCCTGAGGCTAGCAAGACTGAAGCTTTCATAGGAACACCAGACGATGTACCATCTTAGCTTCCTAAGCACAGAATAGTCATTGCACATTTTATGAGCTGGCATGGTGGAAGAAAAATTCTGTACAAACTGAAGGACAAAAAATAGCTGCTTGGGATTGTAAATTCTAAGCATAACAGAGTTTTGTTATGTTTTTTCAATTCTAAAGAAGTTATAATAAATAGTACATGAGGTCATAGCAAGGATCTCACATTTTTCTTTATGATTAAACTACAAGCTTGGTAATTTACTTAGAAGTTGAATTGCAGTGTGCAGGATGTTAGTGGTTTTAAAAATCCTGCAACCATATCAAGTATTAAGTGTAGAGCATGTAAATTTGATCTTTTTGTATTGATACTTCATAATGCAGCTGCAACTGTGGAGAGTATGGTGACATGAAGATGCTTCAGAGGAAAAAAAATACGGGACAAATTGGATTCCAGTCCACTGGGTGTGTTTTCACTTCCTGCCTGCATGTGTGTACTGCATGAGTGTGTTTCTGTGCTCATGCCAGTACCAATTTGTGGGTGAGGCAGGAAGGATTTGACAAATAAAGGTGGGCCAGCTAATCTAGAGTCTGGTCATGTCTGGTCAGGATATGATTCACATATCAATTTGTTTGACACAAGATGAGAATAACGTACGTCTGTCCAGCTTTCTTTATATTTGAGGGACAAAATCAGACCCCTCCCCTCCTGCTATACTGAACTGAGGTGCACTCCCCTTATTGTAGCTTAGATTATTTGTTGAAGCAATACAGCCTTCCCACTTTGATATAGGTCCAGGTGAGGTGTGTGTGTAGCTAAAGGAGTGTGAGCTTTCTCTGAATCAGGACAGGAGTCATGCAAGCGGTTCTTAAGGGCCTCCCACCAGCATATGATTCATTACATTATAAATATGCCATAAAAATTTGAAAATTATGAGGTTTGTCAGGAGAGAAAGTGAAGACAGTGTGCAGAAGGTAGATATTAAGAGGAGTGGAGGAGTGTAGGAAGGCAGGGAGTGGCAGGGGGGGGGGGGGGGGGGTGCGGTGTTGGATTGTGGTCATGAATTCTCCTGCTTCTCATTCTTTTCCTACATGTTGGGACTCATTCCCTCCTGTTTCACTCATTAGCTACAAAATTCACATTAGCAACAATAGTTATCCAATAGCGCATTTTTTATGTGATATCTATATATATAGTTGGGTAATTTTTTTGAAATTACATTTTACTGTAACTACAGACATTACTGAGAGAAGAAATATATTGTACTTTGCACATTCATGCTGTTCATGCATCACACCATGAAGCTGTAAATTGCAATGATGTTTGTGAATGTCTGTCTTCATATACAAATTGGCATATTTCTGCAGACAGATTGAGGCTGATGTTGTGGTGACATGGGATGTTCATATCTGCCACTTAAGTTTGTGTGTGTTAATATATTTACTGATAAGTTGTTCTGTACTAATTATCCTGTCTTTCTCCCATGATCTTGTATTCCAGGTGTGCATACCTACATCGCTGTATGTGTGTGAGAGACTCAGACTGTGATATATCACACTTACCTGGGATTTTACTGAGGAGCACCACAAAAATTCTTGGTTTCCATGGTGAACCTGTGAAACTGTGGCCTTAACAAAGAGATGTATCATTTTCAGACTTGTGGAGGCACATCTGTCTTGCACACGCATGCACAAATGGCATGTACCGAATCTGACTGAGTAACCCTCTCTGTAAAGACTTAGTCAAAGCACCTGAAGGCCAAACAAAAAACAGCTGAGTTTGTTGCTTGGAAGTGAACATTCCCTGTACCAGCGCATGCCGCTACAGGCTGATGCCAATTGATTAAATGCTTTTTGGGAGAAAGTGGAAATGAGGGGAAACAGCAGAAAATTTAAGTTAAAAACTCTTGAAAGTGTTTCTTATTTTGGTTGAGATGGGAATCTGCACCCAGCTTAAAGGTGGTAAATTCAGTGGTGGTAAATGCAAACACATATTCTCTTTGTCTGCGTATCCAGTAATATATCCAGGGTGTTATATGAGGTCTTCATTGCCCGCTTTTAGTTTAGTTTCCTTTTTTGTTCTTTATATCCCATTATTTTGCCTGTTGTTTCGTTCACCAGTTTTTTTCCCTGAATGTAACAAGACACTATAGCCATGCTAGCGACTCTGTGAGGTTGTTTTTAGTCACCATCGTACTTTGAACTTAATGCTAACATCAGCATGCTAACATGCTCCTAATGATAATTCTAATATGGTGACATTTAGCATGGAAACAATATCTGCATAAAATTATGTGTTAATTCCTCTGGTAGACTTAACAGGAAAGAAATAATTCTTGGCATGCTAATGCCAATAAAAAAGTCAGGGCGTTATCTACTTGGGACCATGGATGTCTCTACAAACGTTTATGGCAATCTACCCAGTTGTTTTTGGAATAATTTGGTATAGACAGAAATTATGAATGAACTAACATTGCCATCTCTAGAGCTAGACTGCTAATAAGGCCAAACGCAAACTGGGAATATGATTGGGTCCACTGAGATACTAAGAAGTACCTGGAACAGACAACACTGCTTCCTGGAGTTAATCTTTAATAGGTTTATGAGTCTAAGCACAGTTACATTAGCGGTGTTTTGGTAAATGGTCTTATACTTGTATAGCGCCTTTCTATGCTTTTTACAGCACACTCAAAGCGCTTTCACATTATTCGGCCATTCATCCATTTGCACTCCCAAGCACTCACGCATTCACACACCGGTGACATCACCGGGAGCAACTGGGGGTTCAGTGTCTTGCTCAAGGACACCTCGACATGACTGGACAAGCTGGGAATCGAACCGCTAATCCTCCGGTTAGGAAACGACCTGCTCTACCTCCTGAGTTTTGGAGTCTGTTTAGGTCGCATAGAGTATGTATGTGTCACAGGTTACAGTTAATCTGTTGTGCATGGAGGAAGACTTTAGTAAACTTGAGTCACCAGACTAGTGCAGGCAGGGTTCCCTCTTGATTGACACTTGCAAGGTGCCAAGTGTTCTCTTCTGACCTGCTGACTCTTTTGTGAGAAGGAATGGGTTTTGATTTTTTTTTTTTTTTACACAATGGCAGTATTGTTGAAGGAATGATCTTCTGCTCTCAGACCACAGATAAGGAACCAAGGCGCTCTGTACATCTCTTCATTCCTGGGTGTATCGCCTTCCAGTGAGTGAACAACAAAAGCAGGCTGCCAGAATAAGAGCAGGGGTGCACATCTGTGCTTGTGTGTATGTGTAGATAGTATGCAACACCCGAGGCAGCTCTCAAAGGTCTCTGATAAATGGTGTCTGTCTGCTCCTCTTGTGTTCTGAGATTCACATCCATTCACATAAACACCCACAGGAGCTCACTCCCCTGCACACGGCCCTCTCATACTGAGAAAAACCGGTTATGCAGCTCACAGCAATACCCTTTTAGTTGTATGTAAGTGTGTGTACAGGCCTCACTGAGGTGTGGCAACATTTAGGGTCAGATAATCTTGAAAGAAGAGCTTCATTTCTTTATTCCTATGAGGGGAAAAATCAACCAAATGACCCCCATTCTCAGTGTTGGGGGGTGGGGCCATGTGTGCACATACATTTCATCCACGCCTTCTTCACACTGCACACTGAAGAACACATGCCTGAAATATCTGCATGTATTTTCCTGTTTGACCATTTGTCTCATGATATTTGTGATATTTATATTGTCTTGTTGAGAGGACAGAGAAATAAATGACTGACAGACATCACATTTATTTTTCCTGCTTTGTCTGGACCCTTTCCAACAGACCATAGATACTTTCAACAATAACAAATGAGCTCTCTCTGTGTGTGTGTGTGTGTGTGCGCTTGTACACTACAGTATAGTGCAAGTCACATAAACAGAGAAAAGGAAGCTCTCTCCATGGTGCCAAAGGAATGGTGGAGGAATTTCTAAAAGAATCTTCACAAGTTCGAAGGTCCCCCACCAGAATCCCCAGAGTTCTGTTTAAACAGCTTGGTATTTGTGTTTGTGTGCATGTGCATGTGTGTGTCTGGATTAACAATTAGTTCCAGCCAATTATGTATAGCTCTCTCTGGCTGCCAAAGCAAGAAATGATGGGGAAACTGTTTTGTTGAGCTGCCAGCTTAGAGTTATGGACATTTTACGTAATGTGTGTGTGTGTGTGTGCACACATTCCCTGAATCGGAGTTGTACATGGAGAGGTGGATTTGTTTCAGGGGGAGTTTTATCACACTATGTATCATAAATAACTATCCACCCATTATCTGTACTGCTTATTCCTGAATAGGGTCGCAG